AAGCACTGAGCTAAAACTGGCTTTATGCTCCATAAAGCTAAAGAGCTGCAGATAATGATTTGCTATGGGAGTAGTAATCGCTTTTTTATTCTTACACTGTATACATATTCTCATATGATACACTGGTAGACAGACAGCGTAATGAATGACAAAGAAAATACAAGAAATTGCTCTGCTTTAGTATTGTTGGGTCACAGTAAAGCCTTTGATGCACCAGATGCAGCCAATGTGTCAGTATTTCTGGGTCAGTTGCTGTTTTTTTTCTACTTCTTAATACAGGTATTTTTCAGATGCTGTTCTTAATTCTACCACCTCATCTATCTATCTATCTATCTATCTATCTATCTATCTATCTATCTATCTATCTATCTATCTATCTATCTATCTATATCTGAGTATTCTTTTTTCATTTTTCTTTTTTCATTTTAACTGGAAGATAACTACTGTAGCTAGATACATGTAACAGTATTAGATATATTCAAGGAAAGTACAGATACCTACCAGTGTAATGTACTTGAGCAAATTCACTCTGTTATATTCCATCACTGCTAACAGCTTACTGCTCATATGTCTGTGAACAGTCCTTTAAAGATGAACCAGTATAATCAGCCATGAGTGTTTTGTAGAACAGACAAACTTTCATCTGATTCAGGTTGCCCTCTTTGGATTTTTGAGGGTGAAGTAATATCTAGATTCCCACCATGTTACCCTCTTTATATTCAGATGTTTACTGCTTCTGCAGGTGAAAACCTATTTTTCTAAACATTTGTGATGTGCGTATGATTTTGATCTACATATATGTAAATAAGGGTGATTATGGCCTAGAACAAGGCAGTATTCTTTCAAAGCGTTTGATTTTCAGAGTAGGGTACTGCCTTATCTTTGATGATCTGATATATCTAGTCTCGGTTGGATATAATCCTTGGGGACTCCTTGGACAGGCTGATGTAGCAAGTGGTCCTCTTTCTGCAAGAACATCTCAACGCATCTAATATATCTATGCATAGCCAGATCTGGCTATCGATGTTTATTTTAGACCAGTGATGTCTTGTTAGCAGCTTCATCCACAGGGCTGATGAATAAACTCTTAAGTCTCTGGTATGTGCACGACGTCGCCCTCCCTCAGAGTGTAAACAATGTGCAGACAGATTAGTTCTGCTGCTGTGGGTGAAGCAGATTAGCAGAGATTATTAACAAACATGTTGAATTAAACAGACAGTATCACTTATTTCTTTGCAAACATCCCAGCTGTGTGGTTAAGGGTGCAAGTGCTTAAACCAGCATGGTAAAAACACCATGTCTCCCCACGGGAGCAGTCATCACCTTGATTGGACACAGAGCTGCCTGGATTCAATCTTCTTGGTCCCAATTACGGTCAGATTTACTGACATCAGTCACAGTTCATCACAGTGATTATGCTCAAGCTGTTCAGTGAGGAGATGATACAGAGCTTATGGGAACCACCACTAATTGGTGGTCTTCACTCTCTCACTTTCTGTCTACTCATATCTATTCCACTGGGATACATACAGATTTGTCACATCTACACTGCATAATCATTTTGGGTTACAACAATTTTATAATAATGTATTCGAGTTTTCCCTTATGTACTCTCCCAACTGTCTGAAAGCCTCCACTATCATTCTCATCCCCAAAAAGACTAGTATAGACAGGCTTAATGACTACAGACCTATAGTCCTCACAGCATATAATGTTAAAGTACATCAGAGATTGTCTATCCCCCTCCCTTGACCCCCACCAGTTTGCTTGCAGAACTAATCGGTCCACGGAGGATGCCATCACTATCACCCTTCACAGAGCGCTGAGCCATCTGGAGAACAGGGAGAGCCACGTGAGGATGCTCTTCTGGGACTACTGCTCAGTGTTTAACACCATAATACCAGACATCCTCACCACCAAACTGGACCACCGTCAGATCCCCCCTGCCACCTGCTACTGGATCAAAAACTTCCTCACCAACCGACCTCAGTCAGTCCAACTCAGCCCCCCGTCACTCAGCACCAGATCTCGCTGGGCTGTATTCTCCGCCCTCCTACTGCACACCAATGCATCCAACCAATGTCATCGTCAAGTATGCCGGTGACACGGTGGTTGGGTTTACCTCTAATGGAGATAATACAGTGTACAGGGCAGCGGTAGAGAACTTGTCCTGCTGCTGCTCAGAACATAACCTGAAGCTGAACGTCCTTAAAACAAAATAATTCATAACTCATTCCCCACTCATTATAAACAGAGGACGGGTAGAATTTGTGTCTACCTTCAGGTTTCTGGGCACCCACATCTCAGCTGTGCTCATCTGGACCCACAACATCAACATCCTGGTGAAAGCCTCCTGTCTCAGAAGAACGCCTTGCACCCCACCCGCCACCTGTTTGATCAGCTGTCCTCTGGTCAGCACCTCAGGTCAATCAGGTCCCACACCTCTAGACTCACAAACAGCTTCTTCCCTCTGCCATTTGGAGTGTCAATAAACACTATCCCCCCACACCACATCCTTGTCCACCCACTGCACTAATCTGAGCCATGGTCTGAGTAACCCCCATCATTCAGGCCACTCACATTCAGACTCTATTCAGATCAAGTCTTGTCTTTGCACTACTTCCAAGCACTTTTCAAATTGTTTCTGTGTGCCGTTCTCTTATTTTTGTATATAATTCTCATGTCTTGTATATACCCATAATTCTGATGTACCTCTATGACAAGGGGCTATTCTATTATGTTCTATGATATTCTATTCTACTGATACTCCACTGGTACCATCATTTTCTCCATGGTTTGGATTCAAATTGTATTTACTCCAGTTTTTGTAGATGTACATGACTGTTAATAATATGCTCTTTCCCCATTTTTAATGTCATGTTCAGAGTAGTGGAAATTATTCATGTTCAGTATTAAGAAGAAATGTGTCGCTTTGTGAAATATTGTCTTCTTTACTTAGCAGCAAGATAGAGTCATTCTTTACTTTTTAAACTTATGAACAAAAACATGACTTAAAATGACAAAAACTGGACTAAAGTTACAGAAATAATTTTGGACTTGGAGTATTAGTCAGGTAAATTAGGACAACTGAAAATGTATCTTTGAGGTCTGGGTAATTGTGATGAAAATTTATTCCTGGTTATCTTCCATTTTACAAACCACAAAATGAATGTGCTGGTGAGAAAATAACAAACAGAGATAGAATGAAAATTATCATGTTACTGATAAAAAATATAAATTCATTTAAAAAGAAAAACAGAAAATAAATGATAACCCTTAAAAACAAACTCCTCAACAAAGATCAAATTTGTAATTAATTCACGAGAAATCAAAACATATGTAAACCAGAGTATAATATATTTTTAGACGTATGGAAATTAAAGCAATTTTGTGGTCGTATTCGAGTGATCTTATTCAGCTGTCTAATGAGTGAGTCATCGCTTGCTATGGTATAATCAGCATAAGGCAGCAACTGAAGAGGAGCAAATGGTAGCACATTGAAACAAGCCTTTGTCACGTGATCATGACCACTTACTCTTGTCAAACAGAAGGACTTAGAAAGAAAACCCTGTTTCTGATGCAAGCCTGGCTCAGATGTAGTGGTGTTGCTTTCTGCAGTTGAGATAAATAAATGCCCTGCCACTGAGAAAATGCAGTATATACAGTGGATACATGGATACATGCTTTTGAGACTTTTCATTTTCAATACTTCTCTACAATTAATAATCTTACCAGTTTGGCTCATTTGTAATTCTACTGTAGAAAAAAATCTTTAGATCAATTTAGGTTCTCATCGTGCATAATGCAAAGAGTCCACCAGTAAAACAAATGCATACCATTAAAACTGGATCAAAACAACCCAAAGTCTATCAGACTTTTATTGTTGCTACTTTTGCCCAAACTGGCTCTGATCAAATGATGCCTGGTTGACTGAAATTATACCAAAATCCAAAAAGAAGTTCATTCAGCCATAACAAAGGGATTTACACTGTTTATCTGATTTTTAAGTAACATTACTTTACGCTATACATTAAAGTATTGATTCACTCACATGAGCAATTTTTGTTCATCCGGGAAGGGAGTCAATATGCACCTTACAGGCACATGATGAGGATGGATCATTTAAGCATACATCTGTAATAATAGCATTGTTCATTTTTTATGGCTTGCACATGAATCTTGTATTGCATTAGTGCTTGAGGATGAATTCTAAGGGTTTAAAATCACGATGTGTGTGCAGAGAAAGGTTGACCTATGGAGAAATGGGCTGACCTGTCTTGATTGTCCATATGACAGCAATGTATATGTTCATTGCAGATTCACATTCACATATCTAAAGGTCTGACCTACAGCTTAAATGTGTTATATGCACAATACATTTTTTTTTTATGTCTGTGAGGATAAGTAAAGCGTTTCATTTCCTCAGCCACACCTGCAAATCCAATCTTATTAAATGCACATTGGGTTCACCACACTTACTTAAAAGTTAATTCTCAAATATTTCCATAACTTCATACTGAATTTTTATGACTTCACTGAAGCTATGCTGCAGTGAAACAACTTTTACAGATCCCCATGACACTCAAAATGTGTTTTTACTGTAGACTAGAACATAAAGAATGAATTTTCCTTTCGCCTTTTTAGAGTGAGAAGGATTTCAGGGAAGCTATTTAAGTCAGAAACTGCAGTCTTCACAACAGACACCTAAATTTTGTTTTTACTGTTGCAAATGTTGTAAACTATTCAAAATAGCTATCTTCCCATTGGGCCGGGGGTCATGACCCAGATTATGGAAAGCGATGCTGTAGAGAACTGAGCCCGAGGCATGAGGATGCCTGCTGTTTAATTGAAGTTTAATGGAAAAGATGTGTGTGGCCTCAGTTTTCATGTGATAGGGTTCAGTGCCATCTAGTGGTAATAAGTAACAGAGTTACTAAACTGTGAGTGCATGTGGGTTTGGAATTCTTTTCTTACATTATTCAGAAATAAGAGTCAGAAGATTTATTATTATTTAATTGATGAAGAAACCAAATGAACTGCTTAAGTTTATAAAGCCATAAGGATTACATTATAAGGGGTAATAGAGGTAGTTCCTGGTGATTTATTAACAAATCCGTGAGAGTTACATATGTCACACACTGTAATAATGATAATATACATAATATGAGCATTTACAAAATAACAAATGTGAATCTGCAAATATGTAAAAGTCTAACTACTCTAACTATGTTATTTAAGGCACAATATACGTTTACATACTGCATAAAAAGCCTTTGCAATGTCATTTTGTATGCATCCACTGAAATAAAGTCATAGTCAGCAAGTTCATTCATCTGTTTCATTCATCTGTTTCATTCATCTGTTTCATTCATCATTCTATCAGCCTGGTTCATTTTTAGTTGTACTGCCTCGTCAGAATTCCTTGTCTCCATTGCTTTGCTCTTCCTGTGCTCCTCATCCAGTTTTTTATAGTTGTAGTAATGCATAACGAAGAAAAATATGCCAGAAACCACCATGAATACACCGCATGCATAATATATGTATTTGTAATCACCAAAATAATCAACCAAAGCACCTGAAAGAGAACACACATAATCTGTTAGTAATTCCATCTTGGAAATTTCTATACTTTGCTTATGTGTATAATCAAAATCACAATTCAATGAAAAAAAGAGAAGAAAATAAACACCACAAACCTGCCATTGGAGGTCCCAGAAGCACTGGCCCACAATCAATAATGGTGACAAGTCCAACAGCAGTGGAGAAACGAGGAGCTCCAACAAGGTCCATTAGAACTTCAAAAAGGAGTGCAGAAACCATCCCAAATGCCAAACCAAAGAAGACAGCATATACAAGTAGGCCTGTATAGCCAGACGCCAGAGGGCACATTAGGTGACATACGCCATTATATGTAACAGCAAAACTGAAAAAATACTGTATTCTTGGCCTAATCCACTTGGTGTTGCCAACTAAGCCAGTTGTCGGTCTAATGAACATGTCCGCCAGAGCAAAAATGGAGAGCAAGAAAGCTGCTGAATATTCATCAATCCCTTGATGTTTGGCATATGGAGCCATGAAAACCACAGGTGCAAAAAAGGCAAAAAACATGACCACATTACCAATTAGATAAATGAGGAAGCCCCTGTGTCTGAAAAGTGAGACATCTATGAATTTCTGCACAAAGCTGTGACCCTTGCTCTCACTTTGATCTTCAGTCTGAAGGTTATCGGCATGGGTACTAGTGTCTTCAGCAGCAGCGTGTTCCTCAGCTTCACTTTCACACTTTGATGTCTCATCTATTGTTTTCGGTTGTATGCTTTTGTTGACTGGTCTCATCAAAGCACCAGCTACACAGCAGTTCAAAACAATGGATCCCAGGATGAGGAAGCTCCCCCTCCAACCAAAGGAATCAAACAATAACTGATTGAGAGGAGCCAGAGTGGAGAGAATAACCGGACTTCCAGTCATAGCGAGTCCATTGGCAATGGGCCTTTTGACGTGGAAGTAAGTGCCTATGATCGTCAGGGAGGGCTGCAAGTTGAAGGCGAGACCAAAACCTGTTAAAAATAAGGTTAAAATTACACACAGTAATTTATGAATTATTCCCTTTAGAATATTTTGAATAAAGTGCCTAAAGTATCAGTTAAAAAAGTACTTTTAGGCAGTTGAATGCACCTCTTATTATTATCTGTGACATTAGTTTTATATCGGTGATGATTTGTTTACAGAAGAAAAAAATGTATAACTAGTCACATGGTTTGGGCATTTCTTTTCTGTACATTTCTGACTGGTGCAGCGCTACTAGATTAAAGATTAGGTTTAAAGTCTGAGAGGTTTATTTGCTCTCAGTTAGTAAAATGATCATGTGGTCTTGCCTGCACAAGTGCATGTGTGGATGTTCTAAATGCACTTGAATTAACAGGACATTAAGAAAACAAAACAGGTTTTACCCAAGTCTAAACATTGCTTTGATGTTGTAAGAGGGGATTATAACTTATATTATATCATAAGGGTCATTGTACTCGCTGCACTGAACGACCAACTCTTGCTTTACACTGGGACATAAACAATCCCTGTGGATTGATCCTATTAGTAAAAAACTGAATGAGCGTTACAACACAACCACTCCTTCCTTCAGTGCAGTCCAGTTACAACCAGGTATCATAAAGCAAACATTATAAAGGACAGCAACAGCTATACCAGAAAAATAACACAAAACTGAATTGAACATGTGCACTGTAAGAAAGTGAATCGTTTTAAAGGGTAGTTTTTTTAATTGTTGGACTAGCCTATCTGACTGTTAACAAAAAAAGGAAACATAATTTACCTCCAATTACTCCAACACAGAGGTACAGATGTATTATATTAGTTCCAAAAGAAGCAAGAGCCATGCCAGTGCAAACCATGACCCCGCCAACTATAACCACAGGTCTGCTGCCATAGCGATTGACCAGTATACTGCTGACAGGGCCTGCACACAGGAGAGAAATATCTTACATTTTTGGCAACGTTCTGAGGGACAGAATTTGCTTGACAAATCCGGTCATGGGATACGCTGCTTGGGAATGTGCCAATTTTATTTTAATACATTTGTCAATACGTGAAGTATGACGGCCACTAACCTCCTGCATACATAGAAGCAAGCATGACTGAGGACACCCAGGCAATCTCACTGTAGGAAACTGAAAAATATTCCTGAATCTCCTTGAAATAGATGGTGAGGGACTTGGGAAAGGCATACGAGAATCCTATGGAGATGAAAGCGCCGAAGACGACAGCCCAGCCCCAGCCTCCGTCTGGTGGGGTGTAGCCTAGATTGGTTGCTGCTGCGGGGGGCATGTTCAATTCTCCGGCTAGAAAGTGGAAACAGCAAAAATAAGTGAACAGAAAATAAACAAGTGCAACTTTTCAAAGAAAGAGTTAGATTCACATATTTTGCATCCATTATAAGTTTCACAAGACCTCACCTCTGCCAAGTCCTTGAAACTGTATCGCAAAGTCTATGAACTCAGTCCATGTGACACAGTCTTGCACTGGGACAGAGTTCACTCTGCTGGAAGCTCTTTGATCTCATCACGTGTGCTGTCAGGCAAAATATGAGAGTGGCCATACAAAATAGAGCAATAGCCCAGCACTAGATATTCATGACAATAAATGCTCGTAGAAAGTGTAATTCAACTGCTAAAATATGTTTCTTTTAACATACGACCCTTTCATAGACATACATTGGTTTTACTGCCGAGGCCCTTTGAACTCATGTAGCAGTGTTTGCCTACTCCTATGTGTTTGTGCACTGCAGGTGGGTTGGTCAAAATGACTAAAATATAGTCGTTGATAAATACTGATCAGCCACAATGTTTAATCACTGAGTGATTCATTGATTAATGATCATCTTGTTTGTGCTCCATGCTCTTTTGGGAAACCTTTAAAGCTGGGATTTACGGTGGCCCTGAGAGGCCAAACGGACTGCAACTTCAGAAAACACTTGCAAAAAGAAAAATGCTGCAAAAAGAAAAACACTTGCAAAAAGAAAAACGCTGCAAAAAGAAAAATGCTGCAAAAAGAAAAACACTTGCAAAAAGAAAATGCTGCAAAAAGAAAAACACTTGCAAAAAGAAAAATGCTGCAAAAAGAAAAACGCTGCAAAAAGAAAAATGCTGCAAAAAGAAAAATGCTGCAAAAAGAAAAACGCTGCAAAAGCACACAAAGCACAACGGAAATAGGAAAAAAGACAACGAAAATGTTTCTGGGGAGACAATAACCGGACGGACCAGTTGCACGAACCAAAACATGTATGTATGGCTGTATCCCAATTCAGGGACTGTTTCCCAATTCAGGGTCTGCAGCCTTAAAGTA